CTTTTAGATCCAAGCAAGTTCTGGCCTGCTCTGACAGGAACAACCGCAGGGCTGGTAGGGCTGCCGGACGCACGGCTCTGAGGCCGCCTTGCACGGTGGCGCTCAGGTGGCGCTGAGGAGAGACCTGTGCATCTCTAGGCCTTGGGTTCAGATGCCGGCTCTCCCAGGTGACTTAGGCCAGTGCGTTCTCTCCCTAGAGCTTCCGTTTCCTCGTCTGTTAAGCGGGATCATTGAGCAGGTTGCGGGATTGTAATGTAGGGGGGACAGTGCCTGGGCGTGGCCAGGTGAGTTGAATAATTGGCAGCCATTTCATTGCAAACCCGAAATCCCTGGCACCCACCCTTTCCCTTCAGAAGAGGAGCAACCCCACCGTCCGCGCAGGGAGCCTCCCCTCCGAACCCAGGCCCACACATCACACGGCTGTTTGGCTTGTATGACCCAGTTCACAGCCCTCTGTCCGTGGGCCTCAGCAGACACCCCGGCCTCTGCCCCAGGGGCCTCTCGGCTCAGCAAACTGGCCCACCTGTGAGGACACGGCTCCCCTTTAAAAGGTGCATCAGAAGGAAGCAGCCCGACTGGTTGCTGAGCTGCAGGAAATGATTAAACTGGGGGAGAAAAAAACTGCTTCCACGAATCAGGGTGGGTCTGATGTGCAGGGTGTGGCCTGGATAAGGAGCTGTTCTGCCTGGAGGCGGCCCTGTGCCGGCTCGCCCCAGCCTGTCCCTCCGCCTCCTCCTCCCTCCCCTCAAGGTGTGTCTCTGGGCTCCACCGCTGCCTGTCCCACTGCCCGGCAGACGCCACCGAGAGGCTACCACCGCAGCCCCTGACCCTGAGACAGACCCGCCAAGCGCCTGCCATGGACGCCGCCGATGCCGCCCGGAGCAACGGGGCCAGCCCGGAGGCCAGGGAAGCCCGCAGCCTGCCAGGCCCCGTGGGCAGCCCTGAGAACGGGGCCAAGGCGGACAGTAAAGACGCCAAGGCCACCAACGGGCACAGCGGGGAGGCGGCTGAGGGCAAGAGCCCGGGCAGCACCCCGAAGCCAGGGGAGGGGAAGAGCACCCTGTTCCTGGGGAGCGAGTGGCGGCGGCCCATCATCCAGTTCGTGGAGTCGGTGGACGACAAGGGCCCCAACTACTTCAGCATGGACTCCGGGGACGGCAAGCGGTCCCCCTACGCTGGGCTGCAGCTGGGGGCCGCCAAGAAACCACCGGTCACCTTTGCCGAGAAGGGGGAGCTGCGCAAGTCCATCTTCTCGGAGCCCCGCAAGCCCGCCCTGGCCATCGGGGAGCCCGGGGACGCCAGGAGGCACAGCTTCCCCCGGGCGGACCCGGGCAGCCTGCCGCGCGCCAAGCCGGGCGCCGAGGAGGTCCTGTGTGACTCCTGCATCGGCAACAAGCAGAAGGCGGTCAAGTCCTGCCTGGTGTGCCAGGCCTCCTTCTGCGAGCTGCACCTCAAGCCGCACCTGGAGGGCGCCGCCTTCCGCGACCACCCGCTGCTGGAGCCCATCGGCGACTTCGAGGCCCGCAAGTGCCCGCTGCACGGCAAGACCATGGAGCTCTTCTGCCAGACGGACCAGACCTGCATCTGCTACCTGTGCATGTTCCAGGAGCACAAGAACCACAGCACTGTGACCGTGGAGGAGGCCAAGGCCGAGAAGGAGGTAACCCGCCCCGCTGCCCGGGCCGCCCTCCCTCTCCTCCACGGGGGTCCCTAAGCTTCGGGGTTGCCGCCTCCTCTGTCCCTGACTCTCTCCTGCCCCGCACACCCCAGGCTGAGGGTCGGAAGCAGCCCCCAGGCCTCAGGAGACAGGCCTTTCCATAGAGGAGCAGGTAGAGGCTCAGGAAAGATCAGGGCCTGGCCAAGGGCTCAGGGCCAACCCCCGCCCGACGGAGAGTGGCCCTCAGTCCTGCTCTGTGCCTGGCCGGGCCGTTTCTCCTTTTTTATTTAAGGGAGAGTCTTACGTTCCCGCTGAGCAGGGCTGGCCCCGGGAAAGGGTCATGGGTGAAGAGGGAATTTGACCTTTAAACGTCCTTTATCTCTGGCTGCAGAGTTTGCATTTAGAGGACAGTGACTTCCCGCTCTATCTGACCAGCCAGCCGCCTCCCCCCCCCCGTCCCCCCCCGTCCCCCCCCCGACCCCCCCCCCCCCCCCCCCCGCTCTGGCCGCCTTTACCTTCGCTCAGCCGGCCCCGTGTGCTTTGCGTGTGGTCGTGTGCAGAACCTGCCTGGGCCTGTGGGTGGACACTATTAGTAAGGTCGGCATTTGTGTGTGGGTTGGGTATATACATATGTGTGTGTGTTTCTAGGCATGTGGGTGTTTATGTTCATTCATGGATTTTGCATGTGTTTGTATGTGCGGCAGGTACGTGTGTTGCGTGAAGTCCGTGTATGCAGCCCTGCCTGTGCTGCTGTGGGAAGCAGCAGGGGCGTGTAGACTGGGAAACCTGGAGAAGGTCATGCGTTAAGGGCTCAGCTTCGGCCGAGGCTCCTTCCCCACAGGTGGCCCGCGGACGGCCATGCCCAGCCCTCCTGACCAGGAGCTGTGGGTGGCTCTCCCCCTGGGCAGGGAGGGGCATGTGGAGATGGGAAAATACCCAGATGCCTCCGGAGCCTCATTTGGCCCAGGAAGGAGGTGCTCCCAGTCCCCCCCCCACTTTCCCACCCCAACCTGGCTCCCACCTTCCTACTGGGAGGCCGAGATGTGGGGGGCCACAGAGCCCCCCTTCAGGAGCTGACGGGAAATCACGCAGAACGAGGGGCCGTCGTCAGCACCCACGGCAGCCAGGACACGCAGGGCCTCTGCCTGGGCTCCAGGACCCGACCCGGTTCTGTTCCTGGGTTTGACTCTAACCGTCGTGCTCGGGGTCTTGGTTTCCCTGTGAAACCGAGGGCTGGACTGGATTGTTTTCCACGTGGCCCTCATGGAGCCTGGGGGGCCTTGAACATGTCGTCAAGGCCTCAGGGACGAGGAGGGGAGATGAGGCCAAGAGCCGGCCTGGGGGCTCCCACGTCTGTTACCAGCAGAGCACCCGCTCCGGCTCATACGCAAGGCTGGGCCCAAACTTCATCCGGAGCAGGGTGTCACCATCTAGGAAAGCAGGTTCCCTGAAGACAGAGGGGCCTGGCCGCTCTCCCCGGAGGCACCAGCTCAACTCGCCTTCTGGTCCCGGGGCCGCCGTGCCCTCCCAGGGCCGCCCTGGTCCCCGAGGCTCAGGCACAGGCGGGCGGCAGAGCGCACAGCAGCTCCTCTGGGAGCGTCCGCCCGACAGCAGCTGCCGGTGAACCAGTCACAGTGGACGGAAGGACAGGTGCACGGATTGCAGGCTCGTCCTCCCGCTTCACCTGCGGTGGGGACAGGCCCAGGAGGAGGGACCCGTCCAGCTGCCGGGTCTGAGGGACGTCTCCCCACGTCCTTGTCCAGCACGGGGAGCAGCGTAGAGCAGCTTGAAGGGCAGGACTCGGGGGAGGTGCTCTCCGGGGACAGTGTCGGACCCACAGATGTGACTTTGATGGTGGGAGCTTCATGCAGTGTGTGCGCGCCTGTGTGCGTGAGCGTGTGCGCGTGCAAGTGTGTGCGTGTATGTGTGTGAGCGTGTGGGTGTGTGGTGCCAGCAGCGTAGACCAGCCCGGGACGGAGGGAGGGCCTGGCTCTGCGGGAGCACCAGCGTGGCACCGAGCGGAGTGCGTGGGTTAATGGGTCAGAATGAACACGCACATCAAGCCGGCACCTTTCTGACGCATCCCCTTCAGACCAAAACACCGGCCCCACACTCTGCACAGGGAGCTCTGTCCAGACCTGTCGGACAGGCTAGGGTGACAGCCCGGGTGAGGTCATCGCAGACACGTTTCGCTGCAGGTGACATGGGCTGTGGGTGTCCGTCTGCCTAGGATCCGAGCAGAGGCAGCCCACGTGGGGGCAGGGCACTCGGTGGCAACATGACGGCCCTTCTGGGGCACCCGGGGTCAGAACGTTGTCCATTTCACTCTGAATGCCCCTGGGGTCCCCCAGGAGGTCCTGGGTCAGGGCTCAGAGCCTGGGGTCTTTGCTGATGTGCTGCCGGGTTGGGAATCCCAGCTCTAGTTCAATGTTACCAGGAGGAAACTGAGGCCGGAGAGGGGTGACTTCCCCAAGGGCCACAGCCGTGGCGCTGGCCTGGCGATGCTCTCCCCCGTCTTGACCCTCCCCTGTCCTAACACCTGAGGAAGCAGAGGGAGGGGAGCCCCCGCCAGGCAGACTAGCCGTGGGCTGTTGGCATGAGTGGAAATGGGGAGCTGAGCATTTCAGGTTGTCATCCGGACAGTCACACTGTCGGGGAGTGCAAATTTGGCAATTAATGGCTCCTTTGGCACAGGCCTCAGCCAGGGGCCCGTGTGGCTGAGGGCGGTAGGGGCCTGATCTCCAGTCGCCCCTTCCCCGAGGGCAGTGGGAGTGTCCAGGTGCGTGTCCAGGTGTGTGGGCAGCTGGAGGCTTCCCCAGGTGGGGCACATGCTGAGCCCCTCTCCACTCTCCAGAAAACCTCTGCTCCCCGAGGCTGAGTGGCCCTACACGGCCAGGCCCAGGCATCAGAGCAAGAGGCACCCAGATGAGGGTGGGAGCGGGAACAAAAGAGGCGTTAGGGACAGGCCTGTGCAGGTGAAGGGATGAAATGGGGAGCAGGAGGGAGGGAACACGGGCGCTGAGCCCCGTCAGACATGACTTTAATCACCTTCCAAGGGAGAGAAGGAGAGAGAGCTGGGGCCTCCGGGGCCAGAAGGAGGGCGGGGGCGGGTGCCAAGAGGAAGGGGCAGACTCACCGCACTGCCCCTGTGAGGCGGGAGAGCCTGCGAGCTGAGGCGGCGGAGAGGAGGGGAGGGAAGTCCCGGACACGGGGGCAGCCCAGAGGCTGGGCGGCCGCAGGACGGAGCCGAGCGTGCTCCTCTTGGTCTCACCCCTTTCCAGCTGCGAGGCCTCCGGCGAGCGCGGCCAGCTTTCCGGGCCTGGGTTTCTGCATCTTTGTTTATTTTTTTTAAGTTAGAAAATTCATAAACATACATTTTTCAGGAAATACAATTATTCAAGTCCTTGATATTTCAATGACCGTTCCACCTTATAAGACATTCACAACATGTGTTCTCTAAGTCTACACCAAGTCGTGCTGACTCCTCCTCAGGTAACCAGGGCCATTTCGCCCATTAAATGCTACAACATGCATTTAGAGTGTAAAGGCACTTGAGCCAAACTACATTAAGTACTTGAACAAATAACTTCCAAACACTTAGAAGACAATAATCTAAAAATACAACACCTTGAATGATCAAACCCCAAAGAACTAAGCCACTGTAACCTAGCAGGCTGCGAATGGGTCACGTGTCCATGTTGAAACAGCACGGAATCGTCAATGACTTTATTTCTCACCTGCAATTTCTAAACATGATGGTGTCTGCACCTCTAACACCCCTTTCTTCGCGGGGGCTTGCCGGTGAGAGGAGACGTGCCGGCACGTAAGGGGGCCCAGAGATACAATTGTGCCCCTTCTCCCCTCGCGCTGCCGGGAGCCCAGGGCCCAGAGCAGGGGTGTTGACAAGGGGTGCACAGAGGCTGAGTACACCTCCAGGGCCTCACCCCAGAGCTGAGAAGGGGCCGTTCTCGCAGCACAGCCTCCGGTCCAGGTTCCCTCCCGAGAGCCGCTGCGTTCGGGGTCTGGCCCTGCAGCACGTGCCGCGGGAGCAGCGTACAGTGTACAGCGAGCATGTCAGACTCAGAGGCTGACGCGGGCCCAATAAACAAGGTGTAAGTGTGTGTGGCCGCAAACAAACAACAGCTTCAATTTTCATAGAAACGCAGGTTTATTTCGATAGAGACACGCTGAACACAAAGGGCTGAAATAAATGAGTCATTAACATAAAATAAAGGAACATTTTAATAACAATTAATTTGAACATGAACTTACCAGACACTGAATAACCACACAAATTAATAAGCGTAACGCAAATAAACCTATTTCTCTTGTTCTCTGAAAGCGAAATATTTCCTGTTGTGCACACCAAACAAGTCAGTCCAAGACTAATGACATGGCCATCGGCTGCTAAAATATTCGCTGCTAGTGTTAGTGGAGAGAAATGGTGCGCCTGCGCGTAAGGCTGTAAGGGAAATGGATGAAACACGATTATAGTCATCGGTCATTAGCGAACGTTGTAGTTCGTTATTAATAGTTATGTGTGGTGCTCACTTCAGCAGCACATATGCTAAAATGGGAACAATACAGAGAAGATTAGCATGGCCCTGCGCAAGGATGACATGCAAATTGTGAAGCATTCCATATTTTAAAAAAGAAAAAATAATTATTATGTATAACAGGATATTGCAAGACTTAAGTTATGACATTTTTATTCATACCATTATATTGGCTGGGCCGCAAAAACATTCATGGTGGGCTGCATGCGGCCCACGGGCTGCGAGTTTGACATGCTTGATGTGCAGCTTCCTAGCGTCCCAGAGAGATGAGATGGCCTCTGCACCGGCCGATGCTCCGCCCCCGCTGCGGACAGCGCATCCCCACTTCTGCCTCTACCCTTTCACGGTTCAAGGCCAGCCACCCCCTCCCCAGGGCTGGCAGACACCCCTCTGCACCTCAGCGAGCCCCACAGTCCCGCTCTCCCTCAATTGCAGGATGGGCTCCCCGGGGCGGACTCCCTCTGCCCTTGGCCTAGGCTTTTTTTTTTTTTTAATAGTTTTTTATTGATTTCAGAGAGGAAGGGAGAGGGAGAGAGAGAAACATCAATGATGAGAGACAATCATGGATCGGCTGCCTCCTGCACGCCCCATGCTGGGGGTCGAGCCTGCAGTCCAGGCATGTGCCCTGACTGGGAATCGAACCCTGACCTCCTGGTTCATAGGTCGACGCTCCACCCCTGAGCCACGTGGGCCGGGGGCCTAGGCTTGTTGACACATTTTCTTAACCTCATCGGACCCTTCTTCCTCTGTGGTCAGTGCCTTCTTCCTGCTCTTGGCCAGTGAGTCCACACTGTCCTTGCCTCTCCTGCAGGCCTCGACACAGCCTGGTCCCCCTGCCCCCGAGGCCCCGCACCACTGCTCCCTCCAGACACTGGGCTCCTCGGGCCTCTGCCTTCTCTGGTCAAATCGTCTCCCGCTCACCCCTCTTCCCACCTCCATTCTGGTGTCTCCCGTATCCTCCAAGCCTCCACGATCTATTTTGCATCTTTAATCTAAAGCGTGGTCGCCAGCCGGTGGCCTGTGGGCCGCTGATGGCCCGTGAGGTCCGAAAGGCTGGCGACCGCTGCTCTCAAGTGGTGGCCTCCCCGCCTGTCTGTGCACACTTCGCTCTGTGTCCGGGCAGTGTACACATCGCACCTGCAGCCAGTCCACCCACACAGGCTGGCTCACCACAATGTCACCTGACCATGCTGCCACGGCCCTCGCTCACGGTGCCCCGCTGGCCTGCCTGGCTCACTGTCCATGGAAGGTGCCCTGGCACCTGCTGAGAGCTTCCCTTTCCTGATCCCGGGACCCCACAGCCCCTGGAGGCAGCCCTCTTCCCGCCTCCATGAAAGGTGGGGCGTGTGCACAGGGGAGCTGTGAGGGCCCTGCCTGCAGGTGACAGGGCCTGGATTTGTCTTCCGATGCCAGTCCTGTGCTCTGGGCGGGTCCCTCCTGGATGGCCCAGGCCCAAGGCTGAGTGCACACTGCTCGCACTTTTATTCTCGGCTCTCCTGTCCGTCAGACCTTGTGTGGGGGTGGAGGGGGAGAAACTCAAGGCCAGCTCCTCCATTCCTGAGCCAGCAACGACGCTCAGCGCCGTGGGGCAGGCCTCCCCTGCCCCTTCAGCCTGGGACAGACAGGAATTCTCCAGGGATGGAAAGCCGCCTGGGACGGCCCCCGTCCAACCTCGTGGTCCCTTCCTCCCAGCTCGATCTGCCCACCAGGCCCAGACTCCATGGGGCCTCCAGGCCAGGGCTCGGCCGAGCTCCGCCCCTGAGAGCATGAGGGTTGAGCCTGCTGTGCACGGGGCTCGGCCTGGGCCCGCTGCCTGGCCTGTGTGAGGCCGCTCCCTGTGCTCTGTCTTCCTGCCCCTGTGGCTGTGGCAGTGGCTTCTCCCCAGCTTTTCTCCAGAGCCCAGCCAAACCCCGCACTCCCCTCCCCTTACTTGCCTCCTCCCGCAACCACGCCCGGCCCTGGTGAGCCTGTCCCTGCCCCGGGGTCTCCAGCGCATCGCTGGCCGGGCAGGTGCGTTCTGAGAGGAACTAGAGTCGCAGCTGGAAAGCCCAGCCCTCGGGCACCCTTTCCAGACCACCCGGGAGCGCTCCCCACCTCGGCCCACGGCCGGTGTCTGCAGTGGTTCCGGCCCAGGTGTGACGTGTGGAGGTCCGTGGCTGCTCGGACTCCAGCCGATAGAGACACATTCCCGGCCGTTTGTGGCGACTTCATGCTCCTAGAGAGATGGCTGCGGAAGGGGTGGCTCTGCATGGAACGCCCAGGGAGGGGGGACCTGGTGCACCCCAGGCTCTCAGGTGCCTGTTCCTTCTGCCTGCCTGCCAGGTGGGGACCGGCCACCTACCCGCGAGTGGGAGGGGCTTGGAGAGCACCCTGGGAAGCCCTCAGGCCCGCCAGCTGCCCGTCGGCTCAGCTGAATGGGGCCGGCCTCGCTCCAAGCCTCCCCTTCTGTCTTGGTTGTAGCTGCTTTTCAAAGTGAGATCTTTTTTCCCAAAAGGAAGGGACGTACGGGTAGGAGAGCTCATGTCCCAGCACATTCCCGATACATCCTCTTCCCAGCGCACCCCCGATCTCAACAGCCTTGATCTCCGCCTGGTCAGGGGCCCCTGGAACCTCTCCTGCTCCCTCTACCCGCCCATCACTGCCTCACACACAAGCCTCTTCCTGCCCAGAATCAAGTTTCTATCTTTCCACAGGCAGACGGCACCCCCTTGTCCGTGAGCAGGGTCACAGCTGTGCCTGCCCGCCAGCAGAGGGTCTGGCTCCAGCTCGCAGCGCAGGCCCATGTCAGGCCCTGGGAATGTGCCGCCTGCTGTGCCCTGGACCGGGCTGGGTCCCCACCTTCCCGTAGCTCTCCTCCCTCTTCCAGTGGCCCCAGGCCCACTGGCAGGAGTGGGGACTCCATACCTGGGCCTCCCTCCTGCTCACCTTGGGTGGAGGGCCTTGCAGAGGCTTAGCCCTGTGAAGACAGGGCTGGGATGCTCGACCCCACAGATCCGGGTTTTTGGAGAGAGTGTTTCTGGATCCTTGGCCACTGGCCCGGTGCCTGGCCTGCGTGAGGTCTGGGTGCGGGTTTGCTGAACGAAGGACTGGATGGGTGAGGAGTGAGCCTGTCGACTTCGCTCCCGGGTGGGCCCACTCCCCACTTCTCCCACCGCCCCCTGACATCTCCTCCCACCCGGCCCTCCCCTGCAGACAGAGCTGTCCCTGCAGAAGGAGCAGCTGCAGCTCAAGGTCATCGAGCTCGAGGACGAAGCAGACAAGTGGCAGAAGGAGAAGGACCGCATCAAGGTGAGCAGCCCCGGCACCGCTGCCTCTCCCTTCCCCGGCGGAGCGGGCCTCTGTGGGCGGCCTCAGCCCTGCACAGACTCCCCACACTGGCTTTTTCCCGATTTTCCCACTCCCTTTGGCGTTCTCGCCAATTCCTCTTCTCAGTCGGGGCCAGGGGTACAAGTGGATCTTACCCATCACCTGACACTCACGTGACATCATTCCAGGACAGACAGACTCTAGAACCACCCACCTTCCAATGTCCCGTTGTCTGCTCAGGCCACCAGCTGCCAGAGGCCTGCCATTCCTGGTTCACTGTGCCGGGGAGGTTAGATGCCCGTGTGCCATGGTCTGAGTCATTGCAGACCACATCTGACCCATGACCCTGCCACATACACATCCATCAATTCACTTTCTGGTGGTGCTGGGTCCTGGTTGAGGTTCCAGGGAGCGCAGCCTGGCTCACGGGCACTCTGGGGCCCGCAGCGTTGCCCACTGGGCGGGGAGGAACGATGGCGGCGGTGGGGCCACCGGTGGATAAGGAACAGCGGCTGTAAACACCGGTCACCTCCATCAGAACTGGCCTTTCTCCATGAGGCCTCCAGGGAGCTTCTGGGCCAACCAGGCTCTCGGGTGGGAGCGACCGGACTCTGTGCTGGAACCTAAAGGCCCAGGGAGGTGTCAGTGACTGACGCCTCCTCCCTTGGCGCCCTCGCTCCGCCCCCAGAGCTTCACCACCAACGAGAAGGCCATCTTGGAGCAGAGCTTCCGGGAGCTGGTGAGGGACCTGGAGAAGCAGAAGGAGGAGGTGCGGGCCGCGCTGGAGCAGCGGGAGCAGGACGCCGTGGGCCAGGTGAAGGTGATCGTGGACGCCCTGGACCAGCGGGCCCAGGTGCTGCAGGAGGACAAGCAGACCCGGGAGCAGCTGCACAGCATCAGCGACTCGGTGCTCTTCCTGCAGGTGCCAGGAGCCCCACATCCGCCCTCACCTCTCCCCCGCCTTCTAGGCCTCACTTGTCATCCATCCACCTTCCCAGGCATCCATCACTCATCCATCCACGCTCCAGTCCACCTCTCCCCTTAATTCTCCCACCCAAGCCCTTTCACTGCCTAATCCAAGGGTGGCACCCAGTGCCACCTGGCACCCTTGAGCAGTGCTCCCGCCCAGCAGGAAGGAGCTCTGTGATGGATTAGTGATGCCTGCTTGGGCTGTGGAATTGTGGCAGAGAAGTGTTGCACAGTTGTTGTCCTGGATCTTTTTAAAAAAATTTTTATTATAATATATATTTTTATTGATTTCAGAGAAGGAGAGAGAGACAGAAACATCAATGATGAGAGAGAATCATTGATCAGCTGCCTCCTGCACTCCCCCCACTTGGAATTGTGCCCACAACCCAGGCATGTGCCCTGACCAGAATCAAACCCAAGACCCTTCAGTCCACAGGCCGACTCTCTATCCACTGAGCCACACCGGCCAGGGCCAAACTCTTCCATTTCACGGAAGAGAAATGGGCTGTTTAACAGCAGCGCTGGGTCTAGCCCCGGCTCTTCTTGCTCCGATGTGGAACCTGCCAGCTTCACTGTGACAGCCCTGAGAGGGCTCCCCCCACTTCCAAGACTCCTCCCAGCTCCCCCCACTAAGGGCTGCTTTCCCTCCTTGCAGGAATTTGGCGCTTTGATGAGCAATTATTCCCTGCCCCCGCCCCTGCCCAGCTACCGTGTGCTGCTGGAGGGGGAGGGCCTGGGGCAGGCGCTGGGCAACTGCAGGGACGACCTGCTGAACGTGTGCATGCGCCACGTGGAGAAGATGTGCAAGGCCGACCTGAGCCGCAGCTTCATCGAGAGGAGCCACGCGGAGAACGGTGGGTCCCTCGCGGGCGACCCGAGGCCGTGGGCACTTTCCTCTGTCAGTCCTGCTGCCTGTGCGGCTGGCACCCACCGATGGCCCCTCATTGTCCCCAGCCACCATTGCACCTGCGGTATTGGTACTAGGATTCCGGGAGTGCAGTCCCCGTTGAACTTGCTGCCAAAGGCAGGCAGCCTCTGCAAGGGGCCTCGGGGCAGGGCCGCCGGGCCGCCGGCTCCCACCTGTCTCCCTGTGGTCGCCCGTCAGGCTCGGGCGCTGCATCTGATGCCAGCCCAGTCCAGCAGCTGGGTGGGTGCTGCCCCTTCTTTTTTAAAAACTATTTTATTGATTCAGAGAGGAAGGGAGAGGGAGAGAGAAACATCAATGATGAGAGGGAATCATGGGTCGGCTGCCTCCTGCACGGCCCCCACTGGGGACCGAATCCACGACCCGGGCATGAGCCCTGACTGGGATCGAACCGTGACCTCCTGGTTCGTAAGTCGACGCTCAACCCCTGAGCCACGCCGGGCGGGCTGTGCTGACGCTTGTAAGGGCTCTGCAGACCTCGGGAGGTGGGCCTCGAGCCGCACCTGGGCTGGAGAGAGAGCCTGCCCGTCACCTGTGCTGAGTCCTCTGCGCTCAGGGGCTGGGCCGGGCCTGGGGGCCAGCGGGGCCAGCGGGACACAGCATGTCCTGGTGACTCACAGCTCTCCTGACGGCAGCGTCTCTTCTGAATCATGCTCCACCCACAGAGGCCACTGAATAACCTTCCAGAAAGCCCCGACCCTGAGAACTACCCTGCCGAGCCCCCCGCCCCGCACCCCCATCCCAGCCCAGTCGCTTTAGGGCCCGACGCCTGGGCACCTTCCCCAGAGCCCCGTCTGGTTCTGGGCCCGGCCCCGGCCTAGGGACACCGCCTGACGCACGGCTTCTGGCCCCAGACACCCGAGGAGGCGCAGGTGCAGCGTGTGCGTTGTGGGGTGTGCAGAGGGGCCAGGCCCAGCGGGGCCTGCGTGTCTGGGTGGTGGCCTCACACGGTGTCCCTCTGAGGACTGGTGAGCCGTGGCAGCGAGGCGAGCACTTGGCCTCCGCCCGCTCACCACCCCCGCATCTGAGCTCGGGGCAGCTGCGGGCGTCTCCCAGGCCAGGGCCAAGGCTCAGGGAGCAGCTTCTCACAGGCGCCCGCTCAGCAGGCAGTCAGCTCTCCGCTCTGACCCACCCCCTCTCATCTCCTCCGAGAAGGGCTGCTGGCGCCACGCGGAGGGCGGGAGTGTGTGGTGGCCACGGCCCCTGGGTGCCCACTTGGGGGAGGTGAAGATGGCCTGATGGGCCCAGGTGGCCTGCCACCCACCCACTGGCCATTACTAGGTCATGGTTGTGTTGGCCACGGCCTCTGTGCAGGTGTGGCCTGTGCCCCCGCGGGTGTGGAGGGGCGGCTCCCGGGAGCAGCGATGGTGCCTCTGACGTCAGCAGCCTGCACCTGTGCCCGGGGCCCTGGCCTCCGTGTTGGTTCTTGTTGCGGCCACAGTGTTGCTGGGAACGTGTTTGGCTGTGGGAGGCGGGGAGACCCTAGTAACCGTCCTCCTGCCTGAGGCCGGCCGCCCACAGGCCAGGGTCTCATTCTGCCGTCAGAGGCCTGCGGGCTGCGGGCACCAGCCATCTTCATCCTGGGCTTGGGGAAGGGCTGAGCCACACCCAGGGGTTGTCATGGATGCCTCCTGCGTGCCAGGGCTGCTGGGCACAGGTGACAGGTGCAGAATGAGGGACGAGCCACTCTTCCCTCCTCTTGCCCGGGATGGAGGCTGCGGGAAGGGCAGGGGAACACGGGAGAGGGAAGGAGTGAGAAGAGGGAGTGGAAAGGAGGGGGCTGGGAGGCAAGCGTGAGCCACACATTGGTTTGGGTTTTGAGGAGTG